AACTAGGCATACACACAAGACCTCTAGCTCATCCAATTTGGTTTGAGCAGGTAGATGCTCAAATTGGGGGGACCCAGCAACGCTAATGACTGAATTGGTAAAATTACAGGTAGGCCGTCACTATGAGTTCCTCATATTCATCGTGGCTCCAAAGATGCAGGAATTAATTATGTTGGGGCTTGCATGTCTGGACAAGTGGACACCTACAATAAAATGGGAGAACGGTGTTTGGAAATTGACTATTGGCCTGGGGCTGTTACCACTGGTGCAGGCAGAGAGCCACCCTGGGACGATGAAACCCAATAAAGCAGACCACCCAGAGCCTGCAGCCCCTGCAAACGAGGCAAAAACCCATGGGATCCAGCAAGTACCAAAAGAGTACTCGAATTTAGCAGGGGTATTCAGTGAGTAAGACTGCAACTATCTTCCCCCTCATTGGCCCATAGATTGCGCAAAAAAAAATTGTACCTGGGACTACACTACCAAAACCAAAAAGTACTCCATGAATCCCAAAGAGATGATAGAATTGAAGAAGTACATTGACATCAATTTGAGGCAGGGCTTTATTGAACCAGCGAAGTCAAAAGTAATGGCCCCCGTGTTCTTCAGAGAAAAGTAAGATGGCGGTGTCTGTCTCTGTATTGATCTGAGGGGTTTGAAAGCCGTATGTGTGAAGAACACCAACCCGCTCCCCCTCATGAAAGATATGTTGAACCACTTGGCTAAAGGCAAGGTGTTCACCAAACTGGACTTGAGAGAGGCGTATTACCACATACAAATCAGAGGGAGTTGAATAGAAAACCGTTTTTAACTGCCCCCTTGGCAGTTTTCAATTCAAAGTTATGCCGTTTGGGCTACAAGGGGCCCCTGGAGTCTTCATGCAGTACATAAATGAGGTGCTACATGAGCACATGTACCATGGAGTACTCGTCTATCTCGATGACATCTTGATCTTTTCTGAAAGCCTAGAAGAACATGTGAAGCTGATACAACAAGTCCTGGAAAAACTTTTAGCCGCCAAACTATATGCAAAGTTGTCTAAGTATGAATTCCACAAAACCTCACTAGACTATCACAAAACAAACCTTGACTATTGCATCTCCAGCGAGAGAATAGAGATGGATTTAGGAAAAGTGAAAGCTGTGTTAGACTGGAAACCTCCAAGTACCTGCCCGCAGCTATAAACCTTTCTTGGATTTGCCAATTTCTACAGGCAATTCTTTCCAGCTTTTGCGGAGATTGCCCTCCCATTGCCTGAACTATTAAAAATGGGGCCTTCCCTGACAAAGCCAAAAGCAAACCAACCCCTAAAGTGGACAATGGACTGTCAAAAAGCATTCGAGAAATTAAAACGTCTCTTTGCCCAAAAGCCCATACTGTAACACCCCGACCTAGAACAGCAATTCATAATCTAGACAGATGCCAGTGATATAGCGTTAGTGGCAGTGCTACTGCAAAAGAATAAAGAAGGGCACCTCTTGCCATGCGCTTACCTCTCCAAAAAACTTACCGCTACTGAAAGGAGGTGGGCCATTTGGGAGAAAGAAGCATATGCAGTCAAGTGGGCCCTACTCACTTGAAGACATTTTCCTGGAAGAGGGGGAATGTGCCGTTCGAGGTCTGGACCCACCATAAAAACTTCAAAGGTCTCAAAAGCCCTTGAAGACTGTCCCTAAAGCAAGTTCGCTGGGCACAATGCCTCCGAAGATTCAAATTTGAACTGAAGCACATCCCTGCAGGAAAGAACTTGTTGGCGGATGCCTTGTCAAGAAAACCGCAGTACCACAATAAGAAGGAAGAAGTGGTTCACCTCATCCTTTCTTCTTCCCACCAAAAGGTGGCCCAAGTCACCACCCGAAGCTAGGATAAGCTGATGGCAGCAATGAAATCGGTGTTGCCAGCAAACCCGTGGCTCGACAATAACAAGGATATCCTGACAATGAAAGATGACTTAGCCTGGAAGGGATCCAAGCTGTATGTTCCCGCAAGTTTGAGGCTGTAAGTTCTACAGCAAAGCCATGATGCAAAACTAGGAGGCCACTTTGGATTCATAAAAATGTTCCACCTCGCCAGGCATCAATTTTGGTGGCCAAAAATGAAATTGGAAATGGAAGATTACGTGAAAAGCTGTGTCACTTGCGCGACCATGAAAATACGACCAGGGAAGCCCCCTGGACTACTACAACGGGTGGCCAGCCCTAGCCAACCATGGGAAGAGATCGCAATGGACTTCATGGTCAAGCTCCCAGACAGCAGGGGGAATAAAGTAATCTGGACAGTTATTGATTTGTTTTCCAAGGAAGCCCATTGCATTGCTTGCTCAGGATTACCAGCCACAAAGAACTTAGTGAAAATGTTTTGTCATTTACTGCCTGCAAAGAGTGCCCAAGAGGATCATTTCAGACTGCAGAGTTCAGTTCACCACCAAGTTCTGGAGATAGTTTCTGAGGTCCAAAGGGCCAATGCAATGGTGGAACAATACATCCTGTATTATGTGGACTATCAACAAGACAACTGGTTGGACTTGCTACTGTTCGCCAATTGGCGTACAACAACGCAGTCCACAGCAGCACTGGATTAACTCCTTTCCAATTACCAGTGGCATGGAATTTGTTCCCATGCCTAAGCTGCATAGGGAACCTCCCTCTTCCATGTCTCTGGCTGAATGGATGGACACTCTAAAGAAAGGGTGGGAAAATACCAAAAAAAAAACAACCCTCTAGCGGAAGTGCAGAAGCATACAAGAAACAAGCTGATAAACTAGCTCACTCCAACCCCCCTTTTGTGTGGGACAAAGTTTTCTTATCTACCAAATACATAAGATTAAGAATGCCTAGCAAGCAATTTGGCTCAAAATTTCTAGGTCCATTCCCAATAGTGAAGATAATTAACCCAGTTTCAGTTCAACTCAAGTCTACCCAGAATTCTAGGGAAAATTTACCCAGTATTTCATTGTAGCTTGTTGAAGCCAGTAATTGGGTCCAGTGTAAGACCATCCACCCAGCCTCCCTCTCCTCCTGTAGTGATAGAAGGGGAAACACATTATGAGGTGAAAAAAATCTTAGACTCCAGGCTGTATAGGAGTCACTTACAATATTTAGTGCATTGAAAGGGGTACCCTTTTTCTGAAGCTACTTGGGTAAAAAGCTGGAACCTAAAAGCTGATAAGTTAGTGAAACAATTCCATGATAATTTCCTGATAAGCCAAAGGGGAGGTGGTTAATTCTGCTATGTTAACCTCTTTTAACCTCTGCTATGTTAATTCTCTTTTCAGGAAACCTTTTTCTTCTGTGGAGAGGCCGCCTATCAGGCCTGCAGCCATGTTCCTTTTGGATCTTTGGCCTGCCACATTTCTATGCTACTATGCTGTTTCTATAGTGGAGAAATGGGAGGGGGATAGTACGTAGTAGAATCTTATGTAGCCACAATAAAATTCCTTCTAGATTGCCAAGGTCATCCTTTGTCTTGGTACCTTGGCACTTGACCAAAACTGGATGGGTGGAACTGCCAGCATGGAAGTGGAAGATTGGACCATGTGATGGACTTGTGGGTGTGGGGGCAAGATCATGAACTTTAACTTGGGGGGAAAACGGAAGAAGCTTCTGATTCTTCCAGTATGGCTCTCTTAATAAATTGGAACTTGGAGCAGCAAATTGCCTTGGACTCTAATTTAATTTTGGATGCTATCTGGAACCCTGACAGTTTATCTTGTAGCCAGCCGCTACATCAGCTCCTTGTCTCTTGAGGAGCCCGGCTGAAGTACTGTGTGCCACTTGCTGAAGCACCTGGATTCCCAGGGAGAGAGGGAGAGGCTAGAGTTACTAAACAGGCAACCAAGCTAAATGCCTGAAGGACTCCATCCTATCACTGGTGTCCAGGCGCTTCCGTGAGTGGTGTGCTGGATTCATATTAGTGGTCTGCAGGATTTAAAATTATGAATGTAGTGATCCCTGAGGTCCGAAAGGTTGATGACCCCTGGCTTAGAAAGTAATTAATCATCAAAAACTCTTTAACTGCATTTTTGAAATACATTTGCTATGTTGTTTTTATTCAGTTGTGTGCTTGGTTAGCATTGTTTTTAATTTTATTATCTGCTAATACATTTGTTTTAATAAAACACAAGCAAGGGCAACAGTAATGCTAAATATTTAGCATTACACCACTCTAGAAAAGTACTGCAAATTTAGAACTTATTATTCCCAGTATAACACTATATAATCTGTCCAATAGTCTCATATCTAATAAACCAATACCACACTGCATATTAAGTTCTCACTAGTTTGATTACTTTTGGCCCAAAATTTAAAAAGTAGCTATGCCAAGATTTAGTAGTTTTATTAATTATACTTCGTTTTTTTAATTAACAAATTTTTACCTTCCCCTAGAGTGGGAAATATCTTTATTTAATCCTATTTGGCATGCAAAATCATTACATAGCCACTGACAAATAAACCTACCCTACCTGCTTTTCTTTTAAAAGTGAGAGGGGAGCTAGGAATTATTCTAACTGCAGCTGGGCAAGGTTTTCAGGTGAGTACTGCCAATTTAGCATTTTGCAGAGCAGAATCAAGATACCACTTTCAAAGCAATAAGGTACCCTGACCTATCCCTCATCAGAATGTCATCCTATGGCCAGGCAAATCAAGTTATTCAGCTTCTCTCTTTTCTCAGCCCATGTCATGCATCTCGAAAATCACCTCTGTCACTCTCTCTGGAGCAAACACTTTGTGTCAGGGTTTAGACGCAGTATGACATCGGAAGATGCCAGGAAATAGGGGTGCTGCTGCCCACAGCGGGATCTCATGTATATTAACACCCAAGCTTTTGCTGTACCGCCTGCTTGATGATAAAACAAGCCGGAGGGCCGGATATATTCACCTGGTCCTCTAAGCGCGCGCACTCTCACTTCCCTGTCTTGTCCATTCAGCCGCTTCTGCCGCCCCGGCAACCGCCGGGTTCCATGCACACAGCAGAAAAGGCATTTCTCCCAACTTCCTTACCCCACTCAGCGAAAACCAGTGCTGATCCCCGCACCCATTTCCTCCTTCCTTCAGGCGGTTGCTCGCAGGTCACAGACCGCCTCCGAGAACCTGGAGTGGAAATCAAAGAAAGAGAATGAAGAGGCCCCACACCGTCTTCTCCACAACTCTCGCCGAGCAAGTCCTACAGAAGCGAAAGGTGAAATGACGGAGAGGGGGGAAAGGGGGGGAAGCGAGGTCCCCGCTCCCTCCCCCCTGCTTCCGGCCTGCGTTGTCGTTGTTTCAACCCCACAGCTTCCTCTCGGCCATGGAGGAGGAGGAGGAGGCGGGACTGTTGGGGCAGAGACGCACAGCGATTGCGTGCACCCTCACCTCGTTCTTCCCCCGCCCTAACGTCCGCTCAATACTACCGAGCGCGCAACAGCACCCTTCAGAGCTCTTCGATCCCAGGCTAGCGCACACTCAGAACAAGGGAATCGGACGTAGGCGGGAGTCGAAGAAATCACCTCCTTGTGATAGCTCCGCCTCCGCCTCCCTGCCGCGCTTGCGCATTTTGTCTTCCTTTTCTCCACTGGAAAAGCAACTCCTTCCAATAGTGCGCATGTGTGCGACTATTTATTTGTACTTTAGGGCGCGCTCTCAGAAACAGACTTCATTAGAAATACTTGCGTTATTGCTGCTAGTTCGTCCCTTCCCAAAACGTTTACATCAAACGCGAGACTTAATCGAAGTTTAGCGTACGCAGCCTGTGCTTTCAATGATATTGGAAGCCTTATTTTTTTCATGAGGTGTCTCCCTATACTGGAAGCCCAAGATGTGTCTTTAGCGCTGGTAGTTAGGGGTGCTGTCAAATGGGTTGCTGGGGTCCTTTCAATTCTGTACCAGAATCGAAACATTGTTTTATATCATGTCTGGTTTGGGCTGATTCTTTTTCCTAGCATATTCCCATCCCAGAAGTGTAGGATTCACTTTTCCGATCATTGAATGCCACTTTGCAGTGTCAACTGCATCTCCAGGGCACAGGCCTGTAGCTTACATATCTTTGTTGATGGTGTCTTGCAGTCTCTGTTTTGGGTCCCCGGCCATTGACTTCTAATTGATAGGCAGTCTTGGCAACAGTGGAAGGTGCTATTCTCAGGACATATCCATACCAGGGGAGCCAGCCTTATCTCATTTTCTCTATAATTGGTGCCACATCAAAATGTTGTCCAATGGTGTCATTTGTGCTGTGGTGAAGAAGGGAGATGCCCAATATTCAATGGAGCATTCACATTTCCATGGCATGGAGATAGTTTTCGGCCCCTATTGTTGCTGCCCAGCATTCAGTACTATACAGTGCAGGTGGTTGTCTTGTAAATCTTAGTTTTAAGATGGGTTGGCATTCGTTTGTCACATACTGTAAACACACCAGTGAGCTCTTGCCAACGCCTCCAGGCTGCATTTACCCTTGCTCGCACCTCGCCATTCATGTTGCCATTACCTTGGAGATGGGATCCCATATACCAAAAAATGTTCACCTTTTTTAGGTTGTCTCCATTGATTTGAAGCGTTCCATGGGTGATGGAACAGTCTCTAACTACTCCGTTTTCTTGATGTTGAGGCGGAGGCGGAAATGGTTGAAGCGATCATTCCATGTTTGAACTTGCTACTGTAGTTCGCCTCTGGCAGTGGAAGCAAGCATAACATTATCACAGAGGTGTGATAACATTATCACATAGTCCAGGGTGCGTTCTGCTGCAGGTCATGTGTGATGGTATCTTTGACCAATATAAACAAAACTGGTGACAGTGCATAGCCTTGGTGTACCCCACTATCACTGGGAATCTGTTGGAGAGGCCAACTGGACATTGCCCTTGGCTGCTGGTGTTCTTGTATAGCATTTTGACCCAGGCAGTGAATGGTTCAAGTACTCCATGATCCTGGAGGGCATACCAGATCAGTTGGGGTGAGACATGATTGAATGCCTTCTCCAGGTCTAAAAATGCCATGTGTAGTAGTTGTCTCTTCTCACAGTGTTTTTCTATGAGCCGATGGGCTGCAAAGATGGCATCACTTGTTCCACATCCTTTAACGAAGCCGTATTGGTTGATGATGAGTTGGACAGTGCTACGAATGCATTAATCAAGGATTCTCTCAAAGATCTTCATAGTGTGAGACAGAAGGCGGATTAGACGATAGTTGGTACAGACAGCTGGGCACCCTTGTTCTTTAAGATGGAAAATGTTACTCTTGTTGACCAATCAGTTAGTACATGGTACACAGTACAGTGCTCATCACAGTATTGAAGAACTTAGTCAGACAAGCTATCCCTGTGTCTCGTACTTACTTTAGTTTTCAGAGGTTCAGATTGTCAGGTACAGGGGCCTTTTAAGTTCTTCATTCTATCCATAGCATTGTTGACTTCTTCCTCAGTTATGAGTGGAATGGGTCCATGGGTTGGTGTGCCTTCTGGAATTGGTAGATGTAGAAATTCAATGTTGGAGTTCTCATTGAAATAATCTTGCAGATCTTGTGTTTGTCTTGGAGTTGTTTGCCATTCTTGTCCTCCGTGCACATGTAATGTTTGATGTCTTGTGCAGCCTTCTGTGCTTTGAGCAATCGGTAAATGTCTTTCTCCTCTTCCTTCGTCTCCAGGCAGTCATATAGGTCTTGGTAGTGTTCTGCCCTGCCTTCAGAAACTGCTCTCTTAGCTGCTCTTTTGGCAGTTACATAATTCTATCGATTCTCTTTGGTCATACTGTCTGCCATTTCTTGAAAGTTTGCTTCTCTTCTTGCACTTTCTCCTGTACTTGGTCAGTCCACAGCCATGTTTGTTTGGCAATATAACAGTGACTTGATTTTGTGACGATGAGGGTTTCTCTGACAATGATAATGACAGAGTCACAGAGTGTTGCCTGGGTGATGTTACTTGTAGCAGCACTGCTTCTTTGTGGTCCTGCAGCTTCCACCATTTGATCTTTTCAAGGCCTGTGGTGCTGTTCATTCTCTTATGGCCTTTTATTTTTAGATCTGTAACAAGTAATTTGTCTTGTGGGGCAAGAATATCAGAGGGGTTAATCTTGATGTTGCATACCATGGGAAGGTCATGTCTTCTCAAGGAAATAAAATCAATCTGACTGCTATTTTCAAGGGTCAAAGTAATTAGATGGTCTGGATGTTTCTTGAAAAATATGTTGCAGATCACGAGATCATTTGCTTCTGCAAAGTCTAGGATTTGAAATCCATTTTCATTGCTGTTTCCATAACCTTTGTTTCAGTGGCATCATGTTTCTCACATGACCACTCGTCACTGCAGAGGAGCAGTACATCTTCTTCAGGGTAGGCATAGATTTTAGTATGCAATTCATTCTAGAATTAATCCTTGGTGTCTTCGTCAAGTTCTGTTTGTGAGACATAAGCAGAAAACACCTGGAGTCGATGGTTGGGTGTGTTAATGGTAACAGACATGAGATGGTCAAAGTGTCTTTGGGCATGTGGCTGTATGACAACAGCAACACCATAGTTGTTGGAAGTGCGTTGGTAAACCAGCTTCACCAGTGCCTCTGGATTTATGTCCCTTCCACCTGGTCTCCTGAAGGCATGGTATTGTCAAACCTCCAAGTAACATGTCCCAAAACACAAAGTTCAAGGCATTCATCCTACCTTTAAAGTCTCTTTGGCAAGGACTTGGTGTAATTCCTACTCTGACCCGTATCCGGAATTACACCCAATAAAAACAATAGTATGAGACTCCTCCCCCCCCCCCCCGAGTCACAATCTCCAATCAATTCTCAATCCAACAGCCGGTGACTCTAAACTCCACCTTCGTCCAGCTGCAGGCATCTTCTCTGCTCCCACGGGAAAGGAATGCCACCTAGACACAACATACCCCCCTCATTTTTACAAAGCCCCTTTCCACAGTTAGAAAATGGCAAGCCTGAAGTATTATTAAATTCATTTACTCACAACCCTAAAAGCTAATAGAAAAAGAATAAAAACACTACATATGTGAGAAGCCTCCAGCCACTGCTGCCGGCTCAGTTCCGGCCAGCAAAGAGGTGGCTGCAGCAGGCCCTTTGCAGCAGCAAAGTGTAGTGGTTGCAGGCTTCTCATGCTGAAAAACACCGGCTTCTCATGCTGAAAAAGGCTGCGGCTGCAGGCTTCTCGCACTGAAAAAGAGACAGCGGCTGCAAGCTAGTATCTTAGGGTGGGATTGTGTGCCCAGCTACACCAACAAAGGCCAGAAGTAGCTGCCCACCATTTCCTGCTGCAAAAACCTTTTTAAAAACCCTGACTGTCGGGCAGCGAGACCCAGCAACAGATGAGGCATCGGAGAATCACCGTTGCTGTTGCTGCACAAAGGTAAGTCTAAAGCTTTGGCCCGCCTGCCCACCCCATCTTGCCGGGACTGACATAAAGTTGGCCATGCCCACTCAGTCACATGACTCCCCCCAGCCACTTGCACCCAGCCTTTAGAACGAACTGGTTCTTAAATTAGTTGGATCCCACTAGAGGCAAAAATGTTTTAGACCACTGCTACTCAACATTATAACAATACCAAGAGAGGCTATGGAACACTCTGATTCCCCTTGTACAAATAGAAACTGCTAGTATGAGAAGTTTGCTTTGAAACAGGATTGAGCAATAAAGTAACTTATATATATATATACATACATACATACATACATACATATATATATATATATATATACACATACACATACACATACACATACACATACATGTGAGTCTGGTTGTTCTCAGTTGACAAATAGTTCTTCACCTATGACTGTAAAAGGACTTCTGGTTGACATTGCAGCAAGAATGGCTTGAAAATAGCGAGGCTCTGCTGAGCCCCACGAAATCCAGCCAGCAACTGCTGTCAGGAGGGTCCATTGGGTCATAGCCTCCTTGAAGTGGAGGTGAAGGAAGGAGAGGTGCTTTACCGACCATAAGTAATTTGCAATTTCCTCGTTAGGTCTGAAGCAAGCTCACCCCAAACAGCAAAATGAATGACTACCATTTTTTGGCAGTCACGAAGCTGAGACAACCAGACAATAAGATTTGTGCAGGAGTAGTGTATGGGCAGATCATCGAAACTGGATGAGATAATTACCAACTTTTACCTTAAATATTGGTTATAACAACAATAATGCTAAAAGATAACTCCTAAGTTTAAAACAGCGGCGACCTAACACACAGAAGGAAAAAAATAAAAGAGGGACTGGAAATTGAAAGGTAGGAGAAGCCCTAAAGAAGCTATAAAAATTCATAAAGCTCGGGGTGGGGGGGGGGCGGAATAGAACAAATAATTTGAAAAG